CCGGCAGGACGGATGGACGCAGCCCACTGGAGCCATGGCAGACGATTGTTTAACCTTCGCCGTTCTGTGCGCGTTAGCAAGCGTAGGTTCCACTGAGGGCGCTTAGTAGTTAAGAACGAGCAGAATCTAGATGGGCAGCTTCCCCGGAGTACTCGTTACGAGGTAATGATCTGAGAGTAGCCCTAGTTCTGGAAGAAACTTCCTTCTCTCAGGCTGTCCATCTCATCTTCTTGTTGCAGACCACTGCCCCACGGCATCCGACCAGAAACGGCTGAGGTTTGCCTCTTCACAAAGGATGAACCAAATTTATCAGCGGAACAGACGGAAAATCTGTACAGGAAACTTCTAATGCAGAATGGGATCAGAAGTGTTAGCCAGGTAAGAGAGATGTGATGGTACAGTACAGTACTGTCGTTTCTTTCCTCTGATGCCAGTGAAAAGGGAAGTAGTTGCTATTTTCCACTGTTTAATAGTCTAATCTCAGTGGTTCTGAGTTAATGATCTCTAGTTTTTCTGACTGTTCAAACTGTAGTTTTTCTAAACTTCAAAATTTACTCAGAGTAACTTCTTCAATTTGAGCAGGCTCTTTAGCAACCAGATGTAATTGCTAGATGAATGCTTAATATTTAGTTTGAGTAAGCAACTGGAAAAACTCACAAGGTAAAAGAATATTTGAGTTCTTTGCAGCTGGATTGGATTGTTTACGCTACTAGCAATAAAACTAGAAAATAATTTTATCCTTGTATTTAACCTTGATTCAGATGTTACTGTGTACTCAAGTTCCGTTTGGTGATTAGCAGTTACTGTGCAAGAGATCCATATTGTTTGATTCTTAAATGGAAAAGTTCTGTCTCCTCTTCCATTGATTGTCGTTGGCATTCTGCAGTAATGACAGACTATCGGTTATGCAAGTTAATTCTGTGCAGTTCTAAGAAGTATTCTAGGCTGTTTTCAGCGGGGAGACTAAACTGTTACTTGCACTGCAGATCATCTCATACAAAACTCTCAAAAAGGAGTATAAACTATTTGAAGCAAAGCGCCGCCTCCTGAACAGATTTGATCTCTTTCTGTCTGATGACCGAATTAGAAGGCTGTTGCCCTCACATCTAGGAAAACACTTTTATGAAAGGAAAAAGTAAGTCTTTAAATTCTGTATTTCCATTGCATTATCTTTTTTTAAGATGAGATTCTCCTTAGTAAAGTTTTGGGAGGTTGGGTTGGGCTTGGTTGGGTTGGGTTTTTTTTAATTTCCCCTCTTTCTTTTTTAGGGCACCTTTATCTGTAAACCTGAAAGCCAAAAATCTTGCTAAGGAGCTACAAAAACATATCCAGGGGACTACCCTCCCAGTTACCAACAAAGGGTGCTGTTAGTAAGTATGAGTAGATTAATACTTCACTTGAAGGACGGCTGTACCTTAACTGTTGCAATTTTGAGTTATTTTTATTCCATTAATATGTGAATAAAAGAGGTTAAAGGTCACCATTCCAGTTAGGGGCCATTTTGAACCTGTATAAATAAATCGGTAGTTCTACTTACTAACAAGCTTTACTGTAAAGCTTTGCTTTTTGTCTCTTTTTCCTCATATGCAAGGAATTTCTAGGCAACTGTGGCTGTCAAACAGCATGTACAATCTTAGAAAAATATTACTGTTAAATTAGATAAAAACTACTTCCAAAATATTCTATTCTTGTACAACCTTTTTTCATGATGCGTCTAAAAGGATCTAAATTGGTAATGTGCTTAGCAACAGAAGGCAGCAGTTGCGTGTTCCAGTACAGGAAGGTTAATACGGGTGAGTCTGTTCTGACCGTTACTACAAAAGACTTCTGCAGTAGCCAGCCATCCTTTATGAAAGTTACGGCAATTGAAGATGAGTGGGCATTTCAATTTTGGGGTATGCCTAAGGACAAGTAACTGGAAGTATGTTTATTTGCCCACCTACAAATACTTCTCTTCGCTTCTTTCAGTACCGCGCGCATAGGTCACACTGGAATGAAAGCTGATGAGATACTAGATAACGTCATTGCAGCAGCTGATGTGATTGCTAAGAAGTTACCAAAGGTACTGCTGATTCACTGCATCAAAGCCAAGTCAGCTCCTAATTCAGCCTTCTTATTTTTACATAATATACTGGTTCTGTTGTTGCAGAATTGGAAAAATGTAAAAATTCTTCACCTCAAAACACTGAAATCAGTTGCACTTCCAATTTTTACTGCAAATATCTCCAACTTGGATGAGCTTGACAGACAGCCATCTGTCAAAAAAAAGGAAGTAAAGGTAAAAAAAAAAATTCTTCAAACTTTCCATAAAACCAAATAGGAACAAGAAGTTCTTTGGCTTCCTTTTATGCAGTATAGTGTCTGGTTTGTTGGGTTTAAATGTTTTAGCAGTCGCTGCCAGGCGTTGATGGCTACAAATAGGTTATTGGGTGCTTCTGACTCTTGAGTGCTTCGAATACTCAGTAATCCTAAGGAAATCATGGAAACTCCTTGATAGGTTGTAAAGCAAACTGGAAATCAGTACGGCAAATGTTTTTAGCCATAAACTGCAGGGAGCTGAGATTGGTTCTTAGAACTTCTGCTTGTATTGTTTATTCATATCTGCCTTCTGAAAATACTCACTAACTTGTTAACATGGATTCAGATTACGCATCCATTACTTGTTGGCTAGTCAGTGGCATTGAATAATTCACAAGCTTATACATTTGTATGTATGGGGGGGGGCTCACCTACTTTAGTTTGTTTATTTATGAGCTATTTATAATAAACATCTGAAAGTAATGCATTCTTTCATATTTTACATATGGTAGACCGCTCTAGGTCCATTAAACAACAATATTTAAATTAATGTTGCTAGAACATCTTATTTTTAACCATATTAAAACAACCATTATACATTTAGAAATGTTATGGGGATTTGTCTGAGATGTACTTCCAATTAATTCTAGAAGGGAAAGAACAAAAAAACAAAGAAGGCAGCTAAAAAACTGAATTCAAGTCAAGTCACCTTGACAACTGAAACTAATGCTGGTGCTGCTACCAAGGAGCTTGCGATAAAAGAAAATGTAGTAGTCCAAGAACCAGGTGATGATGATGAAGAAATTCCACAACTGGTGCCTCTGCAAACAACCAGCTTAGAGGAGCTGAAGGTAATTGTATAATAATATTGAGAAACTCACATTTTAGTTAAAACTAAAGATTTTGAACTGTTTAAATTGTTCATTGCTCGTTAGGGAACAGTGTGTGTTCACTTCAAGTGAACTGGATTTTTTTGCAAATATGAAAGCAAGAGTTGAGTGGGGGGGTGCCTTGGGCCGATGGTTTTTTGTAAAGCCAGTGGTTATTGTCCTTCTATGTATTTTTCTGAATAGCAGCAATTTTGTCTAGGTCGAATAACAAGCCTGAAGTCAGAAGAAAGGGTAAATGATCGAGAAACAGCTTAATACTTAAGTAAATCATATTTTTTTTAATTCAAAATGTCTTGTAAAATTAAATGTTAATGTATTTTAATGTATCTCTGTCTGGAGTACAAAACCTGAGGAAAACGAAAATAACATTCTCTAGGATAGTAATATGCAGCATTAACAGTCATGTAATATAAATTGAGAGCTAGCAGCTTGCGTGAAACACTGTACAGACTTCTTGTTGCCACTATTGGAGATGATGCGGATCATGTCATTAACATGTCTGCAAAACAATCAGACTGATAATACTAATTGTTTAACAAATATCTAGGAAAGATATTTGGATGAATAAAACTAAGTCATAAATTTAAGTGTTATTGTTATGCTGCATTCATGATTGGAGCATACCCTTAAACTCTAATGATGGACCTCTTCAGGGATGCCCAAACTAAAACTATGGTTATGTGCAGGCCCACCAAAAAAATTCATACTGCTTGCTTCAAGCTGCTCTTCTGTGCACTCTGCTGCTGAGAGCAGCCTTCTCTCTTGAGGGCCACTTGGGATGAGCTCTAGGGAATGCTCGGCCTAGTGCGCAGGTAGGAGTGCAGTTGAGTGCGTACAGCTGGACCTCAAATGGAGCTGATCTCTGTTCAATCTGTTACGCCTGGAAATGCGGCGAGAAGAGGACTGTGGTCTAAGGCTCTGCCAGCAGAGGTCAGTGACTTGCCTGGCCAAGAGGATCCTTGCATCTCTTAAATCTATTTACTTTCTTGCTATTTTGTTATCTTTTTATGATTTAGTTCTGTGTTTAATCCTCCGTTTCCAGACTGAAGTTTTGGGCTAGGGCACAGTTCAATTGATAGAAAGCATGTGTCATTTATAATGGCTTCCATTGATGCTTCTTGAAAAACAGTAAAGATGTTCCTTAAGTGGAAAGGTAATTTTTTGTGTGTGTCTTAAATACAGAAAACAGAACCAAGTCCAGAAAAAGGTGACAAGCTGGGCAGGAAAACTAAAACACCCCTTGGTAAGAGAAAGAAGCAACCTCTCACTCTGGAGACTCCAGAACCAAAACACAGAGTTACAGAAGAGCGTGCAGGCTTGCAGACATCAGCAAAACAGAAAAAAGCCAAGCAGCTCAGTGTGCCAAAGGAAGCAATAAAAGAAAAAGAGATGAAAAAGACTCCCAAAAAGCCTGAAGCAAAATCTTTCGCAACACCCAAAGCTGGCAAATCAATACAGTCAACCAAGAAGTCTTCAAAAACGCCAAAGGAAACACCCAAGAAAGCGCGCAGGCCACAGTCAGCATGAACACTGTCTGTTGTAATGCATTTTATATAGTCATTCAGTAGTGTCTTTTTATTAAACAAATATAGTGATGAAGTAAAATACCTGCTTAAGAAAATCTGATCCTAAGAGCTTTTTTCACTGAGACCTGTAATGATTCATTTGTATTTCCTTCTAACTGACGAGCTGGAACAAATAAACTCATTATCTTAATTGGCTTTATTTCTTACCTTTTATCTTTTCTTGGCCCAAACTAAAAGAACTCAAATTCTTTAAGTGTCAAACGGGCAGGGAGGGGACTATTGCAGAAAAACACTGAGAAATATTGCAGAAGTGACATCTTCCTGAAGCATAGCTTTGTATTGGAACAGCCAAGGGCTGAAGCAAGTAGCATGCATACCAAGCGCAGTAATCTATTTAACATGTGATTTAAAATGTGAAATAGCTGCTACTGTTTTTTCTTAAGTTGTTCAATATAAGGAAAACAGCATGACATCTATCAATCTTATTCCAGATATTTAAGTTGGCAGCCTGATAACAAGCCAAACAATGTATTCTTTTAAGCTATTTTTACTTAGGATACTTGTGTATTTAAAAAAAAAAAAAAACAAAAACCCCCAAAACATGGACAATTGGACAGTTTTATAGTTGTATGCTTTGACCATTTATACTTTACAGCATGAAGCAGAATCTCATTACCTTCACTTTTGAGCCTCATTTCTGCTACCAGAACAATTGAGGGTATCCTTGCATGCTTGTTGCAATACTCGTTTCTTCCATCTGAAAAACACCAAAGGCTGTATGAATTCGGGTGTGCCAGCTAAGTGAACCAGTCCCATAAAGGCATGTAAAACATACACTGCATAACCGAAAGGTGTTGTGTGTGTGTGTATAGATATATTTGAAATTTTACAGAATAACCGAATTGTTCCTTTCTGTATGATTACTTCACATACTTCTCAGAGAGAATACAGGGCAGATTTGTGATGAAGAGTCTTCATTAACAGTATTTTACTCAAGTCCAAATAAAAAGGTCATAAAGAGACAAGGTTAATCAACAGTATGTAACCAGCCTCATTTGCAGAGTTCAAAAAACCCCATCTCCTGTTTAGGACATCCCATATCGATAGATTTGCTACCCAGAAAGTAACTGGATGCTAAATAAAACGTGGTAAAAGAAACACTAAAGAATATGAAAAGATTCTGCTTGATCCATAGTGTCAACTTTCTGTAACCCGTGACCTCTAGTTCTCTACCCTGAAGAAACAAATCTTGGCCAAAAAAGCAAGTCTGAATCAATGATCCCTGTTAGATGCATGCTAATGAAAAGATCCAATCTTGTCCAAAAATAATCCTATCACTTTCTAGTCTGGGCTACAAAATACTACTTCACTTTGGTAACAGCGAAGTCAGAGAGTGATACAGAACTCGCCTTCTGGAAATGTGTCGTCTTATCTGATCATTCATGTTAAAATATTTCTTAATTTGTAACGTGCAGAAAATTATGAAATTAAGATTGTAACTTCTGTATGAGTGTTTAACGGTGAACTGTGCTAGCCTGTAGGTGTGGAAAAACATCCTTCACACTGAAAATATTAACAGCCACTGCCTTGAAATTCTGCAGCACCCTGAGCCAACCTGCATTGGGACTGCAGCAGCTGGTCTTGCCTTTTCTGTGGTTGCAGCGCTGGAGTTCATACAGCTAGGTAAGACCTGTAAAGCCTCTGACCAATACAGCTACAGACTAACCCACTGGGGGAAAAAAAAGATATATATGAAATACATACTCTGTATAGTTGAATTTATGTGGTAGGGTATCCAGGATTCTGACAGTTAAATAAGATGTAACACTACTGATGTGGATTTTATTCTTCCTATGAGTTAGTCGTTTATTTAGAATGAACACACAGGAGAGCCTACAGCCAAATGTAGCTCTTGCATCTGGGACTTGGGATCATTGAGACACGTACCAGGTCATTAACTGACACCAGGGTGAAGTGAAATATGTATCCTGCCTTTTACATAACTCTTTTACTTGCTGGATTTTTCATCCTGGATCCACAACTAGTTTCTGGCTTGTTAACCTGAAGTTACATTCTAGCCA